TTTTAGTTGACGAAAAAAACTAACGTTTCGTCTTTCGTCAACTAAAAAACTGTGATAGAAAGACATTCCAGGATTTAAAAAGTTACTTATGCACACGGCATGATATTAAGCACTTTTCTTTACTTGTCTACGAATACTTGCTCAAAGTGCAAATCTTGAGCACATCAGTTGAACACTACAGTAAATCCGAAAGCTGCACGGAAATCTTACTCTAATGTAGTACGAATGAATAAAGTTTTAACAACTCGCGATTTTTAGTTCACAGTTTCGCAAACACTTCGAAGCTGGACCTCGCGAGGATCCAGCCACCAGATTGAGGGACTTCAGCCGCTAAAAGACTTTTTTTGAACTGTTTGACAGGCGTGTACCATACTGTTAATTTCGGATTGCCAAACTAAGCCTTCATCTTAAACTGCGGGCTCCAAATTTGTTACTAAAACTCGTGGAAATTTTTTTTGAAATTATCTCAAATTTTGTCAGTTTATTGACAAAACCATGAAAATCGGATTAAATTGCCTCTCATGGCACTCGAACTATTGCTCAAGTAAAGCTACGAGAATTGCTTTTCCTACGTTCCCCTTTGGCTTCTTTGCCAAGGTTTTCTGGATCCAAGTAATAGCTTATACACTGCTCGTGCTCTAAAATGTCTCCTGCGGATATGGCGGCAAGGCCTTTAGTTCCTTCCCCACCTGAAAAAGAGATTTAACGAACAAACAGTGTATACATATTTTTGGGAGACCCTCAATGTCAATTACAGGTCAGTCTAACAATAAGTTGTAGGCAATGTCCCGGCAGAATTTCGCTCTTTCAGAGCGATTTTCGGATTCCTTAAGCGCTTTTTCGCTTCATACTTCACTTTCATATATTAGTCGGGAGGGGCGGGAGAGGGGTCTGTCTTCGCAACGGTATAAATCTCAATACCGTTATTTGCCGGAACGCTGCCTTTAAGGGCAGCCCGTAAATCACCTCCAAATTTCAAAGTCTAAATGTTACCGAAGTTTTGGTATAAAGCTTACAAGGGAATGGTCAGTAGTGGAAATTGCTAATCCAGGCAAACTGCCTACTATTCAGTGCATCATTCAACGCTGATTTCGAATCTCTATTCCATATCTGCTTAGCTTTGTAGATGATTATGAGCAATTTTATTGCGAAAAAATCGCGAATTTAAGCACATTATTGCAATTTCAGCTCGTCATCAGTCTTCAAGAACATAAAGTAACCTAGCCGCTTGTTTTGGCCCAGCATTAAGCCGAACATGGCTCCGTGCAGCCAAATTTGCCCTTTGCATGCACGTCTAACAGGCTTTCAACGGCCCATAGCTTCCCCCACATAGGCGCTAAGCAGATATGGAATACAGATTCGGAGTTGGCATTTACTCAGACAACTATATCGGGAAGTTCGCGGGTGCTTGTTCGACCACCAATCATCCATGCCGCGAGCTGCCCGGTAAACCCATATATTAGACCCGATAAGTGACCGCGGCGCATCCTGTAAGAGCCCGTTAAACGCCTATAGTTGACCCGATTAGCATGCTTGTAAGACCTAGGAAGAGTGAAGAACTATTTGGTCTGCCCTTCACAATGACGGACTTGAGTGCAAACTGAGCAACTTGTTAGCTCATCTGTCGACATCATCTAGCGTCGTCGATAACACTCAACCGACTGCTGGAGTTTATTTCACGATCATGAGAACTCGATTCTGCCAGAACAGGACCAAATCCGAGCAATGATATCCGGCTTCATGAACACTTAGGGTAGCCCCATCGCTGCGGCGTACCTCACGCGGGTTGCGCCTTATCCTACAATGTGTAAGAAGTGCGGCTTTTGATAAGGCCCGCGGCCCGCCGAGTGAGGTGGTTGGGCCGCGACCCTCCCGATAATTATTTCCCAGTTTCAACTTTGGCCGCGGCGTTCCCGGTAAAATATACATGGGCCGCGGCGTGCGGAGCTCAAACTTAAAGGGCCGCGGCGCTCCATGTAACACGCTTTAAGGCCGCGAACTGTCCGATGCGATTGTCTGAGTATGCTACATCTAAAGGTATGCAGTTGATCTGTATTGGCCGCTTCGATTTCTGACCATCCTCTTGTCAGCGCACTTTGGCCAGGAGCGAGAAGAGGATTTTGAAACTTTAATGGAACAGGGATGAGTTCAAGTCGGTGGAAACCTAGGAAAGTTGTTTAGGTTTGTGCAAAAGATTTTGGGTGGAAGTTATATTCCTTGGGGGATTTCGCGCAGACATCTGCAACTCGCATCATCATCTATGTTATGTATTAGGTTGGCTCGAAAGTCTGGACATAGACGAGATCTGTTATTTCTCGAAACCTATTGCATATACATCAGGCAGAGGTACATTCGATAGAGCAAAGCAAGCTCTACAAGAAGGTGTGCAAGAGCTTGCACCAGCTTAGACCCCGCATAAGTTTGCATCCAGGATCTGAGTCGTACTGAAGGCTCGAAAAATTGGGTAAAATTCATATTTTCGTTCAAATAAATCCTACGGATCTCCAAGTTGCTCAAGCAAATTACACACCACATCAGACACTCATGTGTACCTTTCTTCTATTTTAGTCTACGGAACTCAAACTTGGACATTATACAGTAGGCACGCAGTAGTACTCAAATATGCTTTTGCCGAATTTTTTCCGAGCATAGAAAGCGAGAAAAAAGATAGTCTGAAAATAATAAACTCCGCCTCAGCCCCTCCCACTTATGTCATTCTATACTACAAGCCTTACTAAGTATAATTTTGATATTTTACCCCTGTATGTGCCCTCATAATTGAGAATTAAAAGTTTTACTTGGGAAACCCGAAAAAAAAGCGGCATTTTGACATTTTGGGACCCCCTTGCTTTTCAAATTTGAGCTCCGGAAAAATCAACTAAAAACATTTCTCGGTACTACCAGGTGTCTACTATATAAGGACCAAGTTGGAAGTTCGTAGAAATTTTGTGGAAGGAAATCCGATTTTTGAGGGAGCTAGACTTCGATTTGGATCCAGATTTTTGGTAGCGACTTAGACGGTTCTTTGGTGATCATTTTGTAAAGCTTGCTTCGCTCTGTTGAAATGGTTCCCCAAGTTTGCCAGGAAAACAAAAACACTTTGATTTATTTAGAAATACGGTTTACTTTTGGACAACCTAATACTTCCATGAATCAAGCTCAGCCAAATCATCCAAATGTGGCAGAATTGAGGAAGGAGTAGTGCTAAAACTCGATGAGCAATGCATAATCATGAAATGAAGAATAATATGGAAGGTTATAAGTGTTAGCGAAGGAAGGATAACATAAGTTGATATCCTTCCCTCTGCGATTGAAGACGATATGTATATTACTAGTCGCGTCTGTAAACGCTAATATCAAACTGCTTTCCTTCTTTGCGGAACTACTTTCCGAAAATAGTTTCTAGCATTCGAATGCCTAGATTTGTCATGCGTTCGGTGGCTTAGAATTAGCAAAAGCTCTAAAAAACACCTATGCGGGTTTTATCGGCTTTTTTCCTTCCTTGTAGACAATTATTTAGAACTATCTTGCTCACCCATTTTTGAAGCTTCTGTACAGCTTTCCGCTAATTATAAGCCACTAAACTTAACAAACTTAGGCATTTAAACGCTTATGACTTTCGGAGAGTAGTTCCGTGAAGAAGGAAAGCAGATTTGGAATCAGCGTTTCGAGACGGGTCTAATGATATACATATCGTCTTCATTCACCAACTTATATTGGTAAACTTCTTTTATAAGGGTATCTTACGACATTTCATTGAAGCGGAAGTGAAATTTTTTGCTGGTTTTACTGTGGCGCTGCTTCGAAGATTTAACGCATATAAACGTACTAAAGTTGGACAGAACATTAATGAGTTTCTACCACTTCAATTGATTCAAAATTTGAAATGCACAAAAGCATCGAATGAAAGTCATAACATAGACTCTGATGAACATATGTTCAATAAATTTCAACAATGTCTTTTTTCAGTGGAATGTTACGTATGTGATTCCACAACAACATCCACTACTACCAAACCGACCACAACGACCACTACTACGAAAAAGACCACAACGACAACCAAACCGACCACAACGACCACTACTACGAAAAAGACCACAACGACCACTACTACGAAAACGACCACAACCACAACCAAACCGACCACAACCACAATCAGACCGACCCCAACTACAACCAAACCGACCACAACCACAACCAAACCAACCACAACAACTACTACTACCAAACCGACAACAAAACTCACCACCACCAAATCCGTTCTCACAACTGGTACAACCACAATTACATGCTGTGTCGAAAGAGGACCAACCACTACGGTGTCTACATTGGCACCAACAACTACCGGAGTCGATACCACCACTAGCAAAGCTGGAACCACCACATGCTGCATCAGAACAGCGTCAACGACTCTGGCACCAAGTAGCACACTGGCATCAACATCAGTACGTATAACAAGCACTGTAGCCGAGGCTACAACTGCTAATGCTGCGAAATGTTGTATCAAAGATGGGTCAACCACTCAAGCGCCTAGTAGTACAGTGCGAGCACTTAGTAGTACAGTGGCATCAACATCAGCAGATAAAACAACCTCTGTAACTACAACGGAGGCTACAACTAGTAAAAGTATAACATGTTGTGTTAGAGAGAAGTCAACCACTCAGGCACCTAGTAGTACATTGGCAACGACATCAGCAGCTATTACAACAAGTACTACAACCGAGACTACCAGGACTAGCTCAACCACTCAAGCACCTAGTACATTGATATCGACGTCAGCAGATATTACAACAAGCACTACAACCGAGACTACCAGGACTAGCTCAACCACTCAAGCACCTAGTACATTGGTATCGACGTCAGCAGATATTACCACAAGCACTGGGACCAAGACGGCGACATCGACATCATCGGGGATTGGAACCACTGCAGGCGGTATTAACATCAATACTACCGCATGTTGTATCAGGAATGACACAACTACTAAAGCATCTAGTACAATGGCATCGACATCAGCAGAAATCACAACAAGCACTACAACCCAGACTATCAGGGCTAGCTCAACGACTCAAGCGCCTACTTCAATGGCATCGACATCAGCAGAAACTACCGCAACGACTGCTAATGCTGCAGTTACAACGACCACTTCTAAACCCGTAACAAGTACTACAATCGCGGCTACGACTAGCAGTAACAAACAGTCAAGTACTATGACTTCGACTACCATCGCAGCAGACACTACCACTACGGCGTCAGCGACTACGACAGCTCAATTGCAATCAACGCTGATGACGACGACAACAGCGCAAACGTCTTTCATGAAAACTACAACAGTGAAAGAAACTACCAGCGAAGCTTCCAGCTCAGCAATGACTTCTGCAATCACCTCGACGACAACAAGCGCTACGCCTTCCACCACGGCGGTGTCGCCATCTGCGACATTACAGGCGCAAACTACAACGTCAACAACAACAGATGTGACGGACAGTAAGACTCCAACGATGACCACTGCTGAGCAGACAACCATCATGATCACAGCAACTACTCCAATTGAGTCAGCGAGTATTGCAGTTACAGCCAAGCCAACAACAATCACCCCACAAGAAACGCCAGATATGGAAACGTCTGAATTGCATGAATCCACCGCGGACGCAACTACGACTTCACCATTGGAATCTACGACAGCAACTGTGAAAACTTCATCTATCAAATCCACAATTTTGCTATCCACTTCTGGAAAAGAAAGGATCATTACGTCCTCACCGATGGTCAACGGTACGACAATGGCTGCGATAATAAACGCTTCCGTCAAAGCAATTGAAATGACAAGTTCAAAAAGTAGTTTTAACATATACAGTGACGTCGCCATACCATATCTAGATCATTATAGGCACTCTTACTTCTACTATCGGGACAACCCCTCAAAAAACCCTAGATGCTGGCACCACCACAAGAATTGTCGAGACTGGTACAACGGCAAGTCATTCCACATCTTATTTTGGAACTGCGAAAGTGAATGCTTTCGACACAACAATTTCTCTATCGAGCATTAACCTTGCAAGTTTACAGAGTGATAAAGCAGAATCAACACAGGTCCCCACAAAGAGTACACACGATATTTCAGGTAGTTTATTTTTGGGATTTAATTTATCGTGTTTTGAATAACAATTAACAAAAAACTGTAGGTACGAAAAAGGTACGAAAAGTATAATCTGTAGCCATTTGTCTGTAAATAAGTGGCACTAACTGAAAAGTTGCTTTACACACTCGAAACTCCGATTTTATTCAATGACTGCATTCGTAGACTTTGATGATCTATTCTTCCGATTCGAAAGCCAATAAGTACGCTGCACCAGTTCCTAAAGTAGTACATCGCGTAAGGTTGCGTCTTGTTGATCAAGTGAGAAATGCTAGTCCAATATCTTAGCCGTGAGTGCACTATCTGAACTGCCCTTGGGCAGAGTCTTATTAGAGCCTCAACATTACTTTCCATGTGAGAGCTCCATAGGTTCCAGATTTTCCTGAACGCTGCCTCCAAATATTTTTTTATATTTTCTCGGCTTCACCAGAGCATATTCAAATATATGAGGTCTGTCAAAACTGCATCAGGCCACAAAGTATCCCAAAATAACGGAAGCTCCCCTAACCTTTGGGGGTAGAGACCCATCATTGAAAGGAGACATCCCGAGTGGACATCTAAGATAGATGATGCATTACGTTACTATTTAAAATTAGCGTTTTGCGCCTCATCTAATGGTTTGCAGTTGTGCTGACACTACTACATTATAGCTCGTGCTAGCCTCGCGTGGGTGGAGCCAATCAAAAACATGACGTCCTCTACCCTCTCTTTAATTAAATTTTTCTCGCGCGAGTAAAAATTGCGCACCCTCTAGCGCTGCGCAAAACCCTAGCACTGCATGTGCGATTACGCCGAGTGCGGCCTACTTTGAAGAAAGTATAGTAAGGTTCTCACAATCTAACACTGAACAACTTAGCTCAGCTCAAACAATCATGATATGATCATCATGAAATATTTGCCGCTGACTCCCACAGGAAAAAAATTTGTACGCAAGGAATGCGTCCTACCCAGTCTTTGCTGTCTATACCATAGACAAAATCAAAACATCCGGCTTTGTTTTGGAATAAAAGCGTGCGACAAAATCAGCTCAACCGACGTTTTCCTGAAAAAAATAGGATGTCGTCCACGAGACACTCTCATGTCCCAATCGAGTTCAAGCATGCAGCCCACTTTCTTAATTATGCCTTTTTGCGTTTCTTGTGTCCTCTCTCACTCTCCTTCCTTCCTTTCACTTGTATCTTTGGCCTTTTTTTTTCATGCATGTCTTTCTTCTATTCTTAAGCACAACCCTACGTCATGCAGGTAAAGTATACGTGATCTTCTCGAATAGGCTTTACAAAGAGATTGATACGCAAGAAAAGCACGATTATAGATTTTCAGAAATAAACTGTGCATTTGTATCAAAGGATTGAAACCTTGCAGAAACCACAAAGAGATACACAATATAGACAAGTCTTTGCTCTGTCGACCTGCAACTCTAATACGTCTTCTCTCAATCACTTCGTTGGAGTTGCTACTTGTAGTCATGACACCCTTTATCCGAAAATCATAAATTACAGTGACCGCCAAAAAGTTGCGGACAAGCCGCCTCCCTTTTTTCATCGCTCATTTTCGGATGGAAAACAAAGATGAAAAAATGGTTGGATTGCATGAGATGATAGAGCTCATCAAGAGCTACAACCTACACATTGTGCTTTCTGGAAAATGTCTATTCTAAAAATTTTAAAAATCTTTACCTGAAAAAAAGCCCGAAAATGGCCGCGTCACAGTGTCGCGGACATTAATTCTTCAAACGCGAAAAATTTCTTTTAGGTCTTTTCTTGGAGCAAAAACAGAAGTTTTCCGGACAGGTAAGCATACTATGTTGTAGAGCTCATCGAGGACAATAATCGGGTAGAGTTGCTTCCAAAAAAACCCAAGCTTGAATTTTTTTTTGCTTTTTTTTCAAAAATCTTATATATAAAGCTGAATGTCTGTTTGTATGCCGGTATGTATGTCTGTCTGTCTGTACGTATGTTCCGAATAGAAAATCCCATTTCTGAACCGATCCGGACCAAACTTGGCACACATACACTTCGGGCCCCGGCGGGTGTCATAGGCTACTTTTCGTCATCGATCGATATCGATTTTATCGATTTTTTGCAAAATTTGAGCTACGGGGTTGGGAGTTGGCACAGGGGGGGCGGGGTAATCGGGCATGCTGATTACGAATATAATAATGACATTGCCGGGCGGAGCCGGTAAGCCATCTAGTAACTTCTAATTCCCCTTTTTAAGCCAAATTTCTTCGCATAGGAACCTATTCAAGATATCCCAACAAAGCTAATTGGATAAAATGGATGCCTTTTGATATCTTCTATGCATCCGACTGCTGTCGAGTTTCTTTGCTGAAAATGGCTCTTGACAGTGAGTGCACATGACTCCACCTGCATCTCACCACTGACTTGCACCGCTTTGCGGGCCTGTAGCTCGGCCAGCAGTCATTCTACGAGCCTGCAAGTAGGCTCATTTAAAAGAGCGTGAGTTCCTCGACACGATGATATGCAAATGAATTGAGTTTGGGAAGAATCGGAGATTTGGCGGATGGGGCAATAAAGCGCAGCCTTAGAGGCGAATGGAGTGAAGGCTCTTATCAACATCAGAACAGTCTTAGGCCCCGGGCAGTCTTCACGCGATTTGATCGTCGCGACTGGCGACGAGACAACTGTTACAGCATCATTCCATGCCGATCAAGTTGCATTTCGGTTGTGATACTTTTCCAGCCCGAAATTTTTGAATGTGAAATGAAAATAAATGGAAATGTTGGCGATTGAGTCGCGACGATCAAATCGCGTGAAGTCTTTCCGGGGCTTTAAGGCTCCGAAATAGGTCTATTGCAAGGAAATTAACGGTTTCAAACTTTCAGGATGGCACTGGTGGCGAAAGGAGCTTTGCTCAACTTTAACTCAAAAATTCTCAACCTACAACTGAGGCTGCGCTTTATCACCCCATCCGCCAAATCTCCGGGATTTCTCAAACCCAACCCTTTTGCATACCATCCTGTCGAAGAACTCACGCTCTTCTGAATGAGCCTACTTGCAGGCTCGTAGAATGACGGCTGGCCGAGCTACAGGCCCGCAAACGGTGCAAGTCAGTGGTGAGATGCAGGTGGGGTCATGTGCACTCACTGTCAAGAGCCATTTTCAGCAAAGAAACTCGACAGCACACGTCGAATGCATGGAAGATATCAAAAGGCATCCATTTTATCCAATTAGCTTTCTTGGGATATCTTGAGTAGGTTCCCATGCGAAGAAATTTGGCTTAAAAAGGGGAATTAGAAGTTATTTTTGAAAAAAAAGCAAAAAAATTTAAGCTTGGGTTTTTTTTGAAATAACTACTACCCGATTATTGTCCTCGATGAGCTCTACAACATAGTATGCTTACCCGTCCGGAAAATTTCTGTTTTTGCTCCAAGAAAAGACCTAAAAGAAATTTTTCGCGTTTGAAGAATTAATGTCCGCGACATTGTGACGCGGCCATTTTCGGACTTTTTTTTAGGAAAAGATTTTTAAAACTTTTAGAATGAACATTTTCCAGAAAGCACGATGTGTGGGTTGTAGCTCTTGATGAGCTCTATCTTCTCATGTAATCCAATCATTTTTCATCTTTGTTTTCCATCCGAAAATGAGCGATGAATAAAGGAAGGCGGCTTGTCCGCAACTTTTTGGCGGTCACTGTATATATGGCATTGATTATATTTATAAAGCCAAAAATCACCTTTGACGGAGGAACGACTGCTTTTTAAGAACGAAGGTAAGCATACTGCGCTGCAAATTGCGCCCAGAGTTGTCGTTTTATTTTGATACAGTCCGGATAACTCACAGTGCTCCCCCTAACACTATTCTTGTGAGGTACTCCAGCGCATCATAGCCTCTGAGAATCATCAAAAATCCTTTCGTGCACTTCGTCTGCGTCCGTTAAGGCATCACTAAAACTGTAATGCACATGAATTCTTCAGCGACTATAGCTTTGTGGGCTTTGCTTATGCTTGTCCGAAGTCCGCAAAAGCTCATCAGAGCAGAGGTCCAGTGGCCGTATTTATCAACGAACCCAATGGGTTCCGGAGCCCATTTGGTAGGCTTAACCCACGAGATCGGTATTCACGAAGTCAGTGATTCCGGAACCGTGTGGGTTAAGCTTACCCAGCGGGTTCCGGAACCCATGAAAAGCCACTTAAGCGGTATTCACGAACGTACCCACTGGATTCGCGAACCCAAAAGGCAAGCATACCGGCATTCACGGAACAAGTTACCCAGTTCTCGTGGGTTTCGGAACCCACTAAGCGCTGGGTTGGCGAACCCAAGCATATTGCAAATTCCTCAATGGGTTACATGCAAACACAGTCGCTTTGCTGTATATTACGTGGATCTTAATAAACACGGATGGTTATTACTACCTTATACATTAACACTTTGCACATCCTTTATAACTGATAGGAACTTTGCTGAATAATTTTGAAGATATTCCATAGAGATATAGGACTAGCAAACTTGATGCCATCAACGATCGAGCGGTCTCTGAAAAGTCGTAAACAAGCTTTTTAACGGAAATTTTTGGATCAATTGAAAGGAGACTAAGAACTTGCCGATTTTGGTCATGCTATGTTAGAATTTTTCTGATACTGCTGCGATTACAGTGGGGGTCTCATATGGGAAGCAGAGCTAGCAGAGCTTCTCTCCATGTTTGTCCATGTTCGTCTATGTTCCATTATTCCACAGATTTGAAAAAAAAAAGTTTTTGCCATTCCGACCAAGTCATCAGACAAAAACTTCAAAATTGAAAAAAGCGGTTTCTCATCGAAAACATTTGTTCCTTGATTTCTTGAAGAAAATCAATGGGAAAACAAGTAGTAATTATGGTAATCACGTCTTAGTTTGCATCTTATTGTTAGGGATTAGAATTCTGTCGATTCTGTCCCTTTGCACATTCTAATCTAAGAAAACGTACTGCCCCTACCGTTCGGGCGTCCTTGCACAAGAAAAACAAATGGACAAAAGGACCCAAGCGCTTCTTGCGAGTATGCACCGTGCCACTGATGATGAAAGTTTTGGTTGAAAGTAGGAGTTTGAAAAAGTATAGACTTACTTGTCATGTACAGCAAAAGCATTCCATAGGATAGAACTCAGCTACTCCTTGCACCATGACAATTATTCAAACTATGCGAATTCGTGAATGTCTGCTATGCCGTGCACTCTTCGAAGAATGTGGCTGATATCTTCCTTATGAAGTAAAAACAACTCTGAACAAGAAAGTTCACTTGAAGAAAGAGTGGAGCCTTCTTTTGCATCCATTTCCGCACTTATTATTGTCGACAGTCATATCTAGGTCCGAAAAAAATACTCGAATAAAGAACAGAATAAGGGAAGTAGTTGTTCGCACAGAAATCATTGATTCATGTCATTCATTCGAACATAAGAGTTCCCGAAAGCGTGTCAGCGTGCTGGTGCTTCAAGTTTAGCGCGATCCGTGTGTATCGAGAGATGAGAAAAATAGTAAACAGACTGGAGAGGCACATTGGTGACGTCATGGGTTGACGAACCCAGCGGGCCACTTGTGAATACCGATCTTACCCAGTGGGTTCTGAAAGGCGCTACGAGAGAATGTTCAAGAATTTGCACTAACTTCTACATTTAACTCTTTCGACAATTTCTTGCGGTTGTTGAACCCAGTGGGTTCCGAAATTCACTGGGTTCGTTGATGAATACGGCCACAGGTCAGAAAGGTAGCGGGCAACGACAAGGACTGCCAAGTGCAACAATAATAAAAGAGGAACACAAAGGAGGTTGCCTACAAGCGCAACAATCGAAAGAGATTGTCGATAGAGTCAAATGTGGAAGTTAGTGCAAATTCTTGAACATTCTCTCGTAGCGCCTACCTTATTCTATCAAAAGGTTTTCCGCGACATTTTTCAAAATATTAAACGAAGGTGAATTTTGCAGTATCAAACAATTTGGTACAATGATGGTGCGAAGGACAGGTGAAATTTACACCTCCTTTTCAAAATAGAAAAGGTCCAAAACTGAATTAAAAGCAGACTTGTGGTTGTTTAATTGACTTGAGCTAATCAGAAACTCAAATTATCATTCTATCATCTCGAATTTCTAATCGCAAATTTGCGCTGATATTTTTGGGTGGTTTACTAAACTACGGGCATTTTTCATTGTCTTGTTGAGATACTGTGATATGACAAGCAATAACTGTTGCATGTTTTTACAACCTCTTTTTTCGAATGCTATCTTGAAATAGATCCGTTTCTCGAACTTCTGTAAAATCTGAAACTCCGCTCCTTCTATTTTTCATGTATGCTTTCGTCTTCGAGATTCTTCGTTTCTATAATTTAATTCATTTATCATCATTGGTCTCTTTCAGAGTTTCATTAGATATGAAGAAAGTTAGCAAGCAGTGGATAGGGGAAATTTACATTAATTCGCAGACTTTGTAACCATAACGTATGTTCCTCCGTCTTTTCAGAGTAAAATAAAACCCTTTCAGAGAAATATTTATACACAGCAGAACTTTTTGGGTTATTCACTTGCTGATCAACATTTTAGACTTTGAAGCCTCTTACCATTATACTTTCGTTTTAGATGACATCTCAAAATCGTCGTCGAGAACTACTACAGAAAAGTCTCCATCAGAGATGGGGCTTTCATCTGATGCCAATAGGTCACAGACCACAGTAGCAACTTCCACATCAACTCAAGCTCATACCGATTCCAATAAGCATTTGGCAAGTTCGGAAACTCAGACGATCCAAAAAATAAGCTATTCAACCTCTTCTAAACAAGGAGTGGCAGATGCAACCTTGAAATTGTCTAATGCAACATTTGATCAATCAACACAAACGAAGTCGTCCACTGCTTTTGCGCCAATCTCTACCTCAAAACAACGAAGTTCGAGCGCCGAAGTTAGAAGTAGCATGTCTTTCAGCACTTTTTATGAACAAGGAACATCTTTGAAAGAAGAACTAACTGTTGGGTACATAGGAGCTTCTGAGATAATAAGCGAAGCTTCTAAAGAAGGAGCTTCTGAGATGATAAGTGAAGCTGCTAAACAAGGAGCTTCTGAGATGACAAGCGAAGCTGCTGAACAAGGAGCTGAGATGACAAGCGATGCTGCTAAAGAGGGAGCTTCTGAGAAAACAAGTGGAGCTGCTAAACAAGGAGCTTCTGAGATGACAAGCGAAGCTGTTGAACAAGGAGCTGAGATGACAAGCGATGCTGCTAAAGAGGGAGCTTCTGAGATAACAAGTGAAGCTGCTAAACAAGGAGCTTCTGAGATGACAAGCGAAGCTGCTGAACAAGGAGCTGAGATGACAAGCGATGCTACTAAAGAGGGAGCTTCTGAGATAACAAGTGAAGCTGCTAAACAAGGAGCTTCTGAGATAACAAGTGAAGCTGCTAAACAAGGAGCTTCTGAGATGACAAGCGAAGCTGCTGAACAAGGAGCAGAGATGACAAGCGGAGCTGCTGAACAAGGAGCTGAGATGACAAGCGAAGCTGCTGAACTATCTCCTTCAACTAGCCAGATTTCAAAGGACGACATGGGCACAAGTGAGCTGTCTGTGCCTGAAGGTACTATGCACGCGGCACAGAATTCCTCCTATTTCTCCTCTTACGCTCATTCGGACGCATCTAGCTATTTTCAAAGGAATGTTTTTTCACCAAAAACACGGGCGTTTGAAACAACATTGTCAGGCAGCAATTTTACGACGACAGCCCAGCTTTTGGATGTTAGTGGTCCCGAGAGTTCGGTTAATCATTCGCGCAAAGTTTCTACAGAAACCCTATCAACTCTATCTGCAAAGCATGACGAATTCTTACTACAGAGCTCAGATAAAGAAGAGGAGGATGTTCTGACCACTACCGAAGTCGATCTGAAGTCAAATATGGCAGGAATCGCTGTGAATGTATCCATCGACTCGGAAGAAGAACTAGCTGTGGACTCACAATCTTCGATATCATTGGTGACATCAACTCTACGACAATCTGAAAAGATAGATAGGACGCTGAGCTTGGATGCAGAGGATATCAGAAGCCCACCACCATCCGCACCCCTCGATAAGGTCAGCACAAAAAATAGCAAAAGCTCAACGTCCGTCACCTTCGATGATGTCAGCACAAAAGATTTCAAATCATCCGCACCCCTCGATAGGGTCAGCACGAAAGATTTCAAATCATCCCCACCCCTCGATAAGGTCAGCACAAAAGATTTCAGATCATCCGCATCCCTCGATAGGGTCAGCACGAAAGATTTCAAATCATCCGCACCCCTCGATAGGGTCAGCACAAAAGGTTTCAAAAGTCCCCCATCCGCACCCCTCGATAGGGACAGTACAAAAGATTTCAAAAGCCCACCATCCGCACCCTTCGATAGGGACAGCACAAAAGATTTCAGAAGCTCACCATCCGCACCTCTCGATAGGGGCAGTACAAAAGATTCCAAAAGCCCACCATCAGCACCCCCTGATAGGGACAGCACAAAAGATTTCAAAAGCCCACCATCCGCACCCTTCGTTAGGGACAGCACAAAAGATTTCAAAAGCTCACCATCCGCACCTCTCGATAGGGACAGCACAAAAGAATTCAAAAGCCCACCATCCGCACCCTTCGTTAGGGACAGCACAAAAGATTTCAAAAGCTCACCATCCGCACCTCTCGATAGGGACAGCACAAAAGAATTCAAAAGCCCACCATCCGCATCCCCCGATAGGGACAGCACAAAAAATATCAAAAATCTACTACCTGCCACCTTCACTTCTGTTGCAGAAGTATGTTACCTACATGTTGCTATCCTTTACGAAAACATGAGATTTCATCGCGCTATGTACTTTTTTTAAATTTAGGGCTTGGCCAACTGAGTGCAACAAACGCATAATCTCACGTAGTCTCCACTTTTTGTATGCAACTTCCAGTTTTTTTTTTCTGCTTGAGGAAAAGCACAGCACAGAATGCAAATATTGCATTCTGTCAATGGAGCAACCATTGACAGAATGCAATATTTTCAAGCGTTCTTTGAGCTGAAAGAGTTACAAGAGAAGAACTTGTCTTCAGCTTTTCACTCTAAAAGATGTCGTAAAATTGCACTATCAAGAAAGTTTTCTCAATAATCCAATACCAGGGTGTTTGAAAAGTTTCCGGCCTCACTTACTTCAACTGAATCTCTCAATTTTTGCCATAGATGTTCGCTAAACCTAGAAACCACTGAATAACAGAGGAAAATATTTTTACCTCAAGATACCCTACAAACTTTGGAAGTGAACAAATTTCCAGCTTCCTTGAAGAGGCGTAAGAGTGCGCTATCTGATTTGTTCCACTTTTTTTCAATGCCGGAAAACATAAACAATTTTCTTCCGTAGTTTTACTAATAATTCTAAGTTTACACTTTCTTTTTATAATAAAAAATTTTCAGTAGCTTGCCAACAAAGATTTTTCATTGCTTGATTATAGCAGACAATCGCGGCACAAGTTTGCGTTGAAATTTCTTCAAGTTTGAAATTTTTTGGAAGTCTTATTTCAACGTGTATTTACAGCACAACTCTCTGACTTTCCTTGTACTCGCTTCCAAAAAATTTGTGCGCTTGTTAAGGTTTTGGAGATAAAATCTTAAAATTTTGAGGCTGGATATCCTGACGAAAAATTCCTGAAACTAGATCTCTTGTCTAAAGCACGATATTTCAAAACAAACTTACTTTTACGAAAATAAAAACACACTCAGAAAACTTCAAAGAAAGAGCTTTCAAAAGGTATAAAGGTTTCTGTGAATCGCGGTAAGAAGCGTTTCAAGGGAGGAGGTTTGGAAAGCTATATTGATGTGTTTCAATCTAATAAAAAATCAAAGAAATCACAAAGAAATTTGATATTTACTGAAATAATGTTATCTGGCCAATGAGTACAGTAAAACAAAAAAGCGGGCCAGAATTTGAATTGGAAATACTTCCAATTCCAGGCCAGGTACTTTCCAAACACCTTGTATAATTAGAACCCTGCCTTAAGCTCAACTGTCACCTTTTTTTAGCAATATCGATTTCAATTTAGGACAATGCAAACGAAGAACTCCTTAAAAAACTTTGATTCAAAAAATTTACGGTAGCGTGCAGTCAGTGTCTGTTTTGCTTCGTCTAAATGTTGGGTTACAAAGTTGAATAGTAAGAAACCAATTACGCAAAACAACATAGCATTGACCCAACTTATCTTTAATGATGCGAGGAGTCAGCGAGCATCATTTTGGAGGACTGAAATTTTTGTTGCAAAGGGTTCACTATGTTAGCATATTAGTGTTCCAAACAGTTGTTTAAATGATTCAAACGTCCAGTCTTTGCAGGAATGCTCTACCAGGACTTTGTTTGTCAACATTTCGACTATGAATAAACCTTTAGTGCTTCAAGAACCAACTTGTTTGACTGTGGCAGCGCCAAAGGTGCAGCTGGAGCCCAAGCACAGGAATAATTTAAAAAACTGCCATTTAGGATGCTAACAGTAATGGCACAATTTCATGGACTATCAATGGGAAGCCTCTATCTGAGACTGACAATGTTTTGACTTTGAATGGATTGAAGAAGGACAACTACGAGATCTGCTTTGCCCACGGTGAGGACAGCTCTACAATGCTTTGAGCCTCCTGTACTTTATTTTAGGAGAAGAGACCACTTGTGCACAGGTGTCAGTACAGGAGCCTCTTTCCGTTGTGATAGATAAAGCCGATGAGAATCTTACGAAGTTTATTGACGAAGAGTTAATATTGAATGTTTCATCAAGCTCTCCTAATGCATTTGTAAGTTACTAGCTTTCCATTTTTAAAACGCTGAGTTGCTTTGATTTTCAGAAAACCGGATGGAAATGCCGAGTATACCGTAGCACAGAGTTTTCAGAAGATACACATTCCTCAAACTGTTTCCGTGCTGGTCAGTGTTACACGAGTCTTTGTTTTTTCAAAGATTATTTTCAGGCAGCGTAACAGCAATCGACTGGGGTGCTAATGTTGTCAAATTCCCCAAATCATCTAATTTCTTCGTAGGGCCTGGAACTTATGAGATAGAAGCCACAATTACAGACAGCATATCTGGGAACGAAGCCAATAAAATAATTATTGCGATATTATTGGCAAGACCCAGCACGTTCGCTACAAGCACACAAGGTAAGCCATGGTAGCCATGCAAACGATAACATTAACGTCTTTAATATCAAGAGTACTCAAAAGTTTCCAGTTCGTAAGAGTGTTGCTGAAGCAACCTGAAAACCCCTACATATCACTCTCTTTCAATACGAAATTGCCTGCTAGTTATCCAATCCCTCAACCATAAATTACCTTTCCGTTATTGCTCCAATTTTCGGAGGGGCAAAATACTTACGTCTTCGATACCTCCCCAAAAACATCCCTCGGTTCACCATGAGCAAATTCTAACACTCTTTAACTCAGTTGTAGTAGTTGAAGGGTTGTAGTAGTTGAAGACAAGATTTTTCCCTCAAGAAACATTTTCAACGTTTTATCACTAAGGCTTAATATTTCGATAGTGCGCATTTGTAAAAACCACGTTTGGGCATTTTTAATCTCCTAAAACAGACTCAAAGCCTGCTATTTGAATGCATTATACATGTGCAATTGACTTGTACACTTTATTAACTGAAAATTTTTTTGAAAATCTCAAACAACCAAAGCTTTGTAGAAAATTATTTGGTGAGCGGCATGGGCCGCTCACCAAAAAATTTGCTGTATTCCAAATTGTAAACGTATTCCAAGCCTCCGCAAAAATTTTGGGATGCATCCCAAAATTTTTGCGGGGCTTGGAATACGTGGCTAACGCCACGAACATTTATTCGAAAAAAATTTGTCGCCTCCACTCCCCTCCCCCCCCCCCTCTCCTCCTGCGAATATCGTAGTGTCGCCGCAGATACACTTTTTTTCGGTCGTACAACATCAATATACTCTCCATTTCGTTTTCCTTGACTTAATGTCAGTTTAACTGCCCACTGAAAGAGATCAAACACTTAAAAAAGAGCGCATAGTTTTTTTGCAAATGCAGACAAGACCTTATTTCAATTTATTACTTTCAAATTCTTATTTTGTGTGCCTCAGAAAAAAAGAAAGGGTGAGATAAGGAGAAATCGCTATAGGTTGATATCACGACTGGACGTTTGCACCGCGCAGAGGTGTGGAATCAATCACTACACTAAAAAACTAGAATATCTAGAGGGGACATCAGCAGGGCTCGGCACGAGGTGGCTAGTTGAAAATGCAAGAAACGAAGTCACCCTTGACTTTTGCGAATTTTTACGAAGTACCCTTTGACCCTAGACCAGGGCTCGGCACGAGGTGGCTTCCCGAAATTGCAAAAAATGAAGTTCCCTTTGACTTCAATGTAATTACGCATCCGCCACGCTATATTCGAAGAGAAAATACATGAAAAGGAAAGGAACAAAGCAAAGCAGAAAAAAAAAACGAAAAAGAGTTATCGAACATACGCGATGATATCCATGTTATCCGGATTGGCGGCATGATGTATCCATCGTGCAGCAATACGCGCCTAGAGCAGCCTTTCCGCCGCCATTCAAAATTTTCAAGGGGCTATAACTAAGCGGGGAGAAGGAGGTTTGAGGCGACTTAGGAACCAATTTGTAGGGTTTGGGGTGTAGATGAAAAGTATGTAAAGAAGGTAGAAAAATTATGTGAGGGGGGAGAAATTTATGACTTTTTCTTTCCTAAGCCACCTCAGGTGGCTATCCAGGTGGCTTGAAAGCCACCTAACTCAGAAAAAAGTTGAGCACGCCTTTAGTTCACATAATTTTTCCATAACTTTTCATACTTAGTCCTAACACCCCAATGCCCATCTACACACCTATTTTGGTGTCATTTCATCTTCACTCCGCTGTAAACAAACCCTTTATTTATTTGCTGGCGGCATGCCGGCAGCGTGCCGGCCGCAGATCGAAAGACAACGTTATGCTCTTCCGCAAAAACGATATCCCCTTTGCTTTTTTTCCCAAAAACGATATCCAGCTTGCTCGGTAAGCCACCTGTGCCGTGCCCTGGACATCAGTGATGAAGTCATTGATTTGGTCAAACTGCAAGCTTCTACGGTCGAAATTTCACATCTTGTACTTTGCTAGAACTCTTTTCAAATTCTACGTCAATAGGTATCTTCAAGTTAAGATATTGAAGAAGTTCTTGGAGGCTGCTATAGTTCGCTATTTCACAAGTGAAATCAACAACTCTTATATGATTAACTTTAGCACTTACGCCTACGAGCTCATCGCATCGGCATATTTCTACCACTTCTCATCCTTCCAAAGCAGAAACCCGTAAGGTAGCATATTTTGTATGTTGTTTGATAACAGCAGTTATGTTTAGATCGGGCAAGGGTAAATGTTAGAAACAAACATTTATGTCATCGGACGAGTATTTTTAGCAAATAAATTTTTCAGCGAGTGGGCTAATCGAAGAGTTGCACTTTGAGAATGATTTTTTTTGATTCACGCAGAAGTATAATCTTTACCATATAGGAATATAAGCAAGTTACGCTCTCTCCTCGAGAGCGTCTCGAACTTTCGATGAAGCTAAAAAACGTCACAACCGAGGTCATTAGTATAAATTATACTGATCCGTCTGGAAACGAACTTGTTAATCATATGGAAACGTTGCCGGTAAGTGATCAGTTCACTTTCCTTTAAGGCAAAGTCGCCGATTCGCTTTTCAGCCTAGTCAGCTCAATACTATCATTACCCTGATGCTTGGCGAGAAAGCAATGGTATTTGCTTGATTTACTGTCTTCTATTCACTTATTGATCGCAGGTGTCTGATGATATGACGTCGTCCGAAATAATTGCAAAACTGAAGGAGGCCGTGGATACAAGGAATGGATTCCTGGCTGAGGTTCTATTAACTACTAACAATGAGCTTTTTGCTTATGGAAAAGGCAATCACTGGCAGAAATCATTGCAATACTAACTATCGAAGAGCTTTTTTTTGCAAAGATTCCTATTTAGAAGCTCAATAAGGCTATAGCCCAACTGCATGATATCGAAATCAACACATCGGAATCGCTGGTTGAAATAGTGAAAACTCTTGATAATGTCTTAAGGGAAACAAACTCTTGGAGCATAGCTCAACTGCCGGTAATTTATCTTTGGTTCTATGACTTACAAGGAAAGGATACTTGGTGACCGTGGCCTTTCGAAATTAAACGTACACCATTGAATGCATCTTGAAGCGCTGATTCCAAATCTGTTTTCGTTATCTGCTGTGCGCTCTTCCGAAAGAAGTTATGAACATTTTTTGTCACCAAAATTTGCACTGTTTTTGATGCAGGATTCACCAATATCGTTGGAATGTTCGCTTACGCACTACCAAAAAGCGTACAAATAAAGTAAAGCTTCACGTTAAGCTCAGGAAAACTATCACCGATACATAAGAGTCTAAAAAGCTGGGATACTGACGATTTTGACTGCCTAAATCTCGCAAAATCAATATGGAAAAAAGTCCATAACTTCGTTCAGGGAGCCGCACAGCAGATAATGAACATAGATTTAGAATCAGCATTCCAGGGCGCACCTACTGGTATACATCTCATTGCAAAAGGTCACGGTCACCGAGTATCCTTCCCTCGTTAGAAGGGTAATGAAATCTTCTGAGTCATTATTATGCAAATTGCCACATATCACTAATATTCTTCAATCACATACAATTGCTTATTATAGATACCAATTTTTTCTGAAGTATCTCGTTTTTGCTTCACCTGAGCACTAATCATGATCTACTCTTGGGAGCGAAATTATAAATTGAGCAATTTAGGTGCACTGAAAAATGCAACCTATTTGTTGCGAACTTGTCTCGTTTAGAAGTTACGCTTTTTTACGGATCTAGGAAACGAAAATATGCGTGTACCGCTTTAGCAATTAGAGCTGTGTATATTCCAGAACTCTGAGGGCCTGTACTTTGGTACCATAGAAGCAGAAAAATTTGCGGCTGTCGGCTCTAAGTTGATGGTACGTACTTGTCTTCTCTCTTCAAAATCCTGATATTATCCATTGAGATCGACATAAACGCGAGGGAAGTGTTCGTAAGGGGAGACATCCGCGCTGGTCGACTACAAAAGGATCGCGTCTGCCATGTAGGTTCCTATAGACTGGCTGTTCGTTTGAAAATAATGTTCCAAAAAAATATTTCTTGCAGTTAATCATTGATGGCAGCAAGCTGGGTCTGCAAGGAAACTACGATCATAGTCTGCAGGCAAATATAGCAGCTGATATTTATCAAAAGAGGTTGCTCTCCACGCAAAAATACACATACAGGCTGCAGGGTGCCACAGAGGTCTGCAAAACATTAAAAGTGATGGAATTTGCAGTTCAAAAATCAAATTAAAGTTGAGCTCCACCGGTATGCCACCAACTAAAGCTTATCGGATACAGTTGTGGAATTCTAGTTATATAACATACGATGTGGAAAAGGTACGATTGAGGAATACCAGTGTTAGCGCTTGGATTCCAATTCAAGATGCCATGTTGACTATACGAGTGAGATTTTTTTGATTTAGCTATTCTTAAACTTATCTATGTCAAAGATATATATGAGCATCGCATCTGAAGGGACATTTGCATGTTCAACATTAACATTAGTTGAAGAGGTTGAACATGCATGTTCAACCTGTTCAATTCAATATTCATAACCAGGAATAAAGTCGAGTTTCAAAGTCTTATTTGACGAAAGACCCTTTGCCTAAAGGCAGCTGCTCGGCAAAACCTGAACCTGCGTCAGACTTTGGTAGTGTAAAAAGACCTCTAAGTACACTGCAGGTCCAACTATAGGTGCGATAGGTAAAGCGATTTCTCTTCCCCTCTTCATATTTGGGCCGGCATCTATTAGGGTGATCGGTAAAAAATGAGGCACTTACGAAATAACTGGAAGTTTCTCAAGGAAGAGAAGTGAATAGATTTTCCAATCTTGATATGTTATGCTCTTTCAAACACTACCTATATAAGGTCATTTACATAAATGATAATTTTTTTACTTGCTGAAATGCAAAGTTAGTCACATTGATAAATTATGAAGTTTGAACAGTATCTGCGCAGTGAAACATGTGAGACCATAAAAAGTACCACTGCTGGAGTGGGTAGTGGGACTGTCACTAAACCCACGGCGGCTTGATGGCCTCAGCTTTCAAAGTCAGGAGATATAGCCATGGCCATTAACAGCTTCGAGAACAAAAATACGCGTTATTCAATTCCTTGCAGGTGAACGCAGGCACCATCTGATAGAGCTTTTTACGCTCTATCCATCCATATGCAGCTTCCCTCAGATTTTACCTATCTTCGAAAAATATAGGGCACAACATGATTTTTTGGTTTTTTATTGCGCCAAACATGGCTATTTTTCAGGTTTTTTCGCAATTTTTCCTGAAATTGAAAAGAAATCTTACACATTCAACATATCGTTTGAATGAACATGAAGGGCTCTTCCGAACAGTATGTCATTTGCTTTACGGTTTTACGGAATGACAGCGCAAGATTGAGAAATGTTCAAAAAATCCTGTCTGAGTTCTTCACGGCGCCACGTGTACGGCTGTGAGAGAAGAGCGGTAACGCGTTGCCAGAATAATAGGCGAAGGTCGGTTATGAAAGGACGTTTGAGTTGCAGCCTGCTAGTTATTGGTGAGAACAGAAAACCTTAAAATGTTATAAAAATCAAGCTGCCCCATTTTTTATCGATCACCCTAATAAATGACCCCCCCCCCCAATCACCTGATGTTGAGACGAGGGTCAAAGCCTAATGGCAGGCTAAAACACATATAATAAATGGTGCACATTTTGGGACCGCCAGCTGCTGCTCTTTCTCAGTCAGTGCATGACATGACTGCACTTTTACAGCGTTTGCTGAGAAAAATGCAAGCTTGAGACTTCTTGTCTCACTCAGAGTGCTCTAGTATTGGTAACGAAATAAACCTAAAGTTTTAGGGGAAATCTGACTCTCTGAATAAGCAACATTGTTCAATGAATACATGTGTCGCAGCGAAAAATTTTGCAAGAGTAGGAAGTGTGGTCTGTCCAATGATGGATGCATGTTCACTAACAAGGAAAGCTACCTAACTTAGCTCGGCCTTTCGGCAAAAGGCATATATATTCTGTAACAACTTCAAACGCTTACTCCAAATATGCTATTCCTAGGTGCCACGCACCATTCCGGAGCGAGTTATGGGCTTTTTCCTATGCAGAATTGACATACTATTGAACATGAGAAGACTGCCTGTAGATAGAAATCTGCAAAAAAAGGCGCTGAGGTATTGAAACAGTACCAAATCCAATCTTTTCTCACTAGCTTAACGCAGGTGTAACAGCATTTAAATGATGATGACGTGATGTCCGTGCGTCGATGAGCATGCCAATTTTGCGGAGGAAATTTCGGAAAAAAATTTTGCGCAGGAAATCTCGCTTCGGAATGGTGCGTGGCAACTAGGAATAGCATGTTTAAAACATGCGTTTGAAGCTGATTCAGGCTATATATATTCCTTGCCAAAAGGCCGAGTTAAGTTAGGTAGCTTCCCTTGTGAGAAGAAGCAAATTACATTTTCTTTCATCGAAGAGCATGTTAGGAAATAAGGGAGCACTCACATGCGAAGCGCCTAGAAAAATACCTTTCATCTCAAAAATAAAGCGTAAGAATAATTTACAATAATTGATATTCTAAATATTCCTCACATCTTGCTTCGCAAAACAGCTAGAAAAAAGAGACGGTCTAAGTCAATACCTCGTGCTAGCTATCGAATGATATACAAATTGTTGGTGCATAAAGCTTTCTCGCTCCAAAAAAGTCTTGCTCCGACGACCCATGAAAGCCAAGCCATTGAAGGGGCGGATGGAGCAAGTTAATAGTAAATATATCCACCCCATCCTTTGAAAGCCACAAATTCTTCCAGCTAACAATCTATAAACCGTTAGAAAGCCCTCGAAACGGGGATTCAAGTTGACAGTCTCTTTTTTCCTAGCGTCATTCTACTCGGAGATATTAGATTGTAAAGAAAGTTCTGCCAATAGACGTTGAGCTAAATTGTTTTATTTATATCTTCATCATGAGTGGCTGTCCTTCAGCGATACTTTGCTCATGTGTACTGATAACCTTAGACTACTGACCAGGTAAGTCATGGATGCTCTTCTTTGGAAGGGTGCTGGCTGCGTGTTGAAACAGGTGGCGAGATCGATTTTTTGACCCTTGAATTCAATGAGTTATTTCTTGCTTGCAAATAGGCCCAGGTACCAGAGCAAGTGATAATCGGATAGCGCTTATCTAGCCAATATGCAGGGTATGAAACGAATTTTCAAATGAAGCTTTCGGAAGTTCTGCGCGTCCATATTCTGAAAAATGTGCCTTTCCGCAGACCTAAGCGCAACGAATTTTTCTCCTTTTTTGGGCAGTTCTTCCTAGTTGATCGTCATTTTTTCGAGATGAATAGCGTGCTGGGTTGGGGCCATTCCACATCAAGAACACATCTCAAAACATCTCCTTGCATTCACATTCATTTTTGGTAATTATGGAAAGAATTAGCAGAACTTTCTTTACAACCTAATACATAGCATTTAAGCTGAAAATACGCGTGTTTTTATGAGGAAATTTTTACGCAAAAAGTGATTGGAAACTTGTAATCGTTGTCTAACTATGTTGCAGAGCAGAACATTGACTGTAAATTTAGACCGTCTCTTTTTCTAGCGTTCCCCTTTCTTTCACAAATGGGGCGCAAAGTGACCCATGAAATCAACTCATGCCGCAGCTAAATAAAGAATTTCATACGTTTCCAAGACTTCGGAGATGGTATTTTGATTGAAGAGACATAAACTTTTCTATATCAAAAAAGTGTCTGATTTTGCCGAGACCCTGCCACACAAGTCAGCATTCATCTCAAGGCTCAGTTACCCCTCTTTTCCAGGTCAGAGAAAGCCGAGACTCCCTTCACGTGGAGGAACCCTACTCACTCTATCGCATCTGTGGTCCAACCCCACTCTCCAGGCGCTAAGTTCTAAAAAGGCGCTTCAGAGCTTCACCAATGGCGCCCAGGCACTGAAATTGGGCTTGGCCTGTGTTTGAAGCGCCTTTACAAGACTTTGTGTATGAACTGGAGGGTGGAGTAGGTTGCGGTGTGTTTGGTGGGACACTACCTACTGTCACCAAAATCTGAAAGGAGTGCATATTGCCGAGCCAGTGCCTCTAACATAGCAAAATTATGCTTGACGGAAAAACTGAAAAACGCTGGAACCACGGCCGACGTGGATAGTGGGCGAGCATACATTCGAGTGTAACAGTTGTCTTTTTGCAGAATTCGAGACACCACGAAATCGGTATGCCCAGTCCTTGGCATTGTTCAGGTCAACTGGAGGGTGGTGGAAATTTGACGAAGTGCGGCAGCACCGCCCCTGACTAATGCATCACTTCACTTCAACACTTCGATCGAAAAAGGTGAATTCTGAAGCGAGGGAATCTCTTCGGGAAAAAGCGGAAAAAAGGGCGGTACGCTACTCGCCTCTTTGACAAGTTTTAGCGTGGTGAATACTGTGGATCTAGTGTACCAACCATGTCAAAACTTGTCAAGAAGGTGGGATTAGCGTACCGCCCTTTTCTTAACTTTTTTGGAGCGATATTCTCGCTTGAGAACCCACCTTTCTCAATCGGACTCAAAGTGTTGTGTTGCATCAGTCAGGAGCCGTGCTCCCGCGCGTCAAAACCCCACTACCCCCAGTTGACTTGGACAATGTGATGCCTTTAACAAGCTAACTCGCGCGCACATCGTTGCGCTTGTACTGCACGGGGCCCGTTTGGCTTTTACGTTGTAGTGGTTTTCACACCTAAACAAATCAGAACATTTTAACCTTGTGGCCTTCCGAAAAGGTTCCAGTATAGCTCCCATCGAAATCTGACCAAGTTAATTTAACTTTGAGCGCCTGATATGCAAACATAATCTAAGTCTTGCATTTGAAAACGAAACCGTTGTCGCAAACGCACGCGATATATAGGTCATTTGAAATCGTGACGATGGATCTGACTTCGGTCTTTGCAACTACAGCAGCATGAAACACTCGTGCAAAAAGGCATCACCTTAATGCTCAGCTCAGTGACTTCAAGTGTCTAAATACTAGGTTGTTTCAAAAGTCCGATTTGCTATTTTTGATATAAACACTTATCTTTTTTCAAAATCAACAGTTTTGAACAAACTACATTTTACCGGATTAAGAAAGTTCATGGCTATCACAAGTACAGTATGCCATGTAAGGAAGGCAAGCGAGGGAGAAGAGAAAATTTGTAGAATTCTACAAGGTTTTCTTCAAAAGTCCACTTTGACGTACGAATGCTTCCATATGAGGATAGGCAGACATACTGGGCTGCCATCATTAAGTAACCTATACTTCAGAGATTCTTTTGCGGTTAAAGGGAATTCGAGTTGTGTTTGTGTATAGAGATTTTTATGAGCAAATTAAGAAAACCCATTATACGAGCCCTCCTCCGCACGCGAAAATTCTTGCTATCAAAAGCGAAATAAGCCAACTGCCCGATAGTCCCCACTTGCTCGCGCTTTACTCTAACATATGTAATATTGAAGTGCATTACGTCGCTATATGTAGACTATTGTCGCTTGTTGAATGACTAAGTTTGTCTTCTATCTTTAAAAAGAAATTGAAAAAGACATTCTCTACTTCGAAATTAACAGTGTGCTTATGTTAGCCCATTACACTCTCACCCATTATGAAATATTACATATTCAGTTTTACAAACACTGCGGAGATTTTTTTCATGAAAATTTTTCTTGAACATGATTGCATTTTGGCAACTTTGCTTCAGGGCTTGAAATTTTATCACTGGGAAGCTAATTCGCCAAGCGTCAGTGAGCACAGAAAGAGCAGGGAGGTACTGCTAGAAGAAGTTAATGACACTGCCATAAGTGCACATCCTAAGAAAATAGCTGCGTTGAAACAAGACAACTGAAAATTGGACAGAACTTTTGAAACAACCTAATACTATCATACGTAAACAGAAAGACCATTCAAGTAGAGATGAAAAGCAAGGAAATGCGGCTGCCAGAGGTGCGTGCGCGTCGCGCACGGTCACGCCATCGCCACGAAATTTCAAAGGCGCAATAGTTTGCAATTTTTCGCAATTTTTAAAGACTACTCCATGTACAATATTCAGTTATGTATGTGATGTTCTACTGCATGTATTTGATTTGTTTTCCAACGCAACCTCCTAGAATAAGCAATAAGATTTTCATAGAGGGGTAAGGAGTTATTTTTTCTCTCTATGGTCCTGGGCATACTTCGCGCGATTTCAGTCGCCACGCGGTTTAGCTATTTGCCAAATCTCTTCAAACTCAACACTTGCAGACTACAAACATTTTTGATGCATTTATTTTGTGAGTCAATAAAATGTGCTATTTTCCGTGTGCTTAAGTTGAGTTTCATATGCAACTGGTGGAGTACTGCGAAGTGGGGACTGAAATCGCGAGAGGTATACCCAGGGCCTATGAAGTGATAACATGCTCATCGTTGTGCTGACCCAATGAGGTGAAAAGTACAGCGCTTCTTTACGGCCATGGCTAAATATCACATTCTTCTTGAAGTATGTAGCATTAAATTTTGAATTTGAAAGATAGCTTTTACTTCATCTGGGAATATAGAAATCAAAGTCACTCCCCATTAAATAAATCTATCTAATCCCAAAGGAAGGACTTTAAATTGCAAAGTCGTTTGTTCAATTCAGGATTCTGCAGATAAGCTTGAAACGATGATAGCTGGTACAGCATTACAAGGAGAAAGTCTTGCATTCAAAGTGAATTACGAAGATTATGATTACACTGTAAAGTATAGGTTTGTTCGTTTTATCGCTAGCATATGACCATTGAATCTCTGCAAAGTTAATCCAGTTTTATGCTATGTCCTGTCTTGCATCTTGTTAAAGGATTCATAAGCAGTATATCAGTATATTATTACAGTAATGGGACTGTGAGGGTTATGGACTTAGCAAACGACACTATGATGTTGTACTATGCGGGTGCACGGCAAATTTATTCCTCTGATGGAGAGTTAACAGATGATCTGGACTATCTATTCGACGATGCCCTTGTTGTCGAAAGTGAGTTCACAGATAGCGGTTGTAACTGCATATCCTAAACTGACATTACCATTACTAGTGGCATACTATACATGGTTTGATTACCCGATTTGAGACTGCTCATATAAAAAGCAAAGTCTTTGTAGGTTTTTAAACCATCCAAAACATTCAATGTATATGTGAATATTTATGTGTATCGTTTGTATCCTCAACAAGGTTAAGGAATTATATTAGGTGGGCTCGAAAGTTCTTGCGTAATTCAAACAAAATTCAATGACTTTTCAATGCCTGCACCTAAATTCACATTCTTGTTCTCTAAAAATATTAGAAGGCTTGCGCTCCATGATGGAAGTTTAAGCGCAAGATTTCATGAGCTAGCCCCCGAGAACGAAGCTCTCAAATATGGGGCTTCAAATTCTGCGATTTTGAGTTTGGTGCCAGAAAATCGCAGAGTGCCGCTAGCTAGCCGAAAAAAATCTGTAAAAATTACTTACGCAGCACAAGCCCATATGTTACTTTGGAAGGCTTTGATTTTGTACGGTGAAGCGAAAACAAAAAATTCGCGAAATATGTCATTTTACAGGATAAATCCCCTTATCGCTGTAATTTTTCCACAAAAACACAGTTTGCAACCAGAAATAAGACATAGTGCCTATTTAGAACCTTGCGACGTTTTTTGAAGTGTAAAAAAGTGTTTTCGCCGAAAAACTGCGGTAATGAGGGGATTTTTTTCCGCAAAATGACATATTTCACAAATTTTTTGTTTCCGCTTTATCGTACATTATCAAAGCCTTCCAAAGTAACATATGGACTTCTGCTGTGTAAGTAATTTTTACAGATTTTTTACTGTTAGCTAGCGGCACTCTGCGATTTTTTGGCACCAAACTCAAAATCGCAAATTTCAAAGCCCCATATTTGAGAGCTTCGTTCTTGATGTCTAGCTCATAAAATCTTGCGCTTAAACGTCCATCATGGAGCGCAAGCCTTCTAAAATTTTTAGAGAATAAGAATGTGAATTTAGGTTTAGGCATTGAAAAGTTATTGAATTTTGTTTGAATTACGCAAGAACTTTCGAGCCAACCTAATATTGACTCATTTTCTACATTCTCCGCCTTTATTTAAACATTATTCTCCGCCTTGATCATCAATAAATCCGCATAAGGATTGATGGCATATTAGCACAGCTCTAAGTGATGTCATCAACATTCTTCTTTGCAATCATTTTTGTGTTCTGACTTTCAAATGCTACGGTCAAATCCAACTCAAACCCAAGCGATGGGATTTTTACTGCTCCAATTCAAAACGCTGATTTGTTTCATGAGCATGCGGTGCAGCCACACAGATGTGTTCGACTTGGTTTTTGCAATTCGCCCGTTAGATGTTCCCTTTACGCCAAAAGGCAAAGAGGAAGTCCAGTCCTCACGATGTAAAATGATGAAATCCGCATGATGAACTGTTCATGATGTCAGATCGAACACCATTACAGCCAAATATCTGCTACTAGGCTCACAATGTGCGATGGCTTTTTATGAAAGACGGGCAATATGTCGATAAACTTGACGCGTGAGAAGATTGGCTTTCTCTAAAAGTAAGCAGAAGGCACTACAAAAGTATACATTTAAAGGCAGTGTTCGGGCAAAAACTCGATCTCTAGAAAATCTACTTACCGGAAGTTATCCGCAACGTTGAATCCGAAATTCACATTAGAAGGCGCAAAAACGGCAAGAACATACGTTTTCCAAAAACGCACGACTTGAAATTCGACGGTCTTCCTCAAGGCAGAGACGCAGAGTCGCTGCGGGACCCTACATTTTAACTGTGGCGGCATGCGTACTCTGCCGTTTAGCAGGAATTCGGACAGCTTGGAGGACCCGCCCCAAAGCGTAAGTTTCTCCACTTTCCGGTCGTTTTTCTTGCTTTAGGTAAAGCGTTATGACTTCGCACTTGCGCGATGTTGAGTCTGAGGGGGCCACTCTCGCATGGCACTGAAATCCCAAAACCCCCATCTTGCCCGGACACTGCCTTTAAGACGTCACGTTACTAAAGTAAAGTCTGGCGTGAAATCCGTTGATAAAGACATTGAACTAAATCAACTAGGTGATGATGTGGATGATAGTCCATTTTTGTGGAACATTCTGAAACATTTTTACTGCATTTGAACCATTCTACATGTGAAACTAATACCATAATCAGATAACAAGTGCTGAAAAGAGATTTACAAAACCATATTAGGGCATGTAGTACCACTCTCTCAGGAACGTCACAACATGAACAAGCTAGGTCTGCGACAGCTTGCAGCTAACAACCTGGTTCAAGTTCAATCCCGAAGGCCATTAACCAGTACCGGCCATCCTTCAACACAATTGTCGAATCGCGTCAACGAAATTGGCACCAAGCTCGAAGCTTGCAAATCACTCCGCAAATTCTGGGCATCCAAAGGGATCGCTGACATCGATCATAACCGTGCTATACCGAGCAAAGTGGCTGTCATTTGTAGTGAGTGCGCAAGACAATCTTGCAATAACATGTATCATTCATTCTCTGACTAAGAAGGGAACGATCATAACTTGAAGGCACCGTCCACCCAAAATGTGTCGATGACATTTTGATGCCTAACAGTAGTGTGTTCTCCAGCTGTATACTTGCTCAACTCGCGCTGACAGAAGTTGCTTCCAAAGCGAGAAAATTGCTTCAAAAATCGCTTTATGTGACGGATTCGTCACGTTGGATCCTCCTCTCTGAGTGGGCATGACGTTCGTTCTGCCCATTTGAGCACACCTAAACAATCACCGTTCCGCACAACTCGCCCTGTTGGTTTTCCGAAACGGGTTTGTCGGGATTTTCGCGGATTCTCGACTTGATATTCGGAATCAGGGACATGGGAAGGCCCCGGAACAACAAAAACATGGAAGCTGAGAATCTGGGCGGGGGTGCCTTGAGGTGGCGAACTGGAATGAGCCGTATATCATTAGATGCGTTTGGATGAGCTGATCCAGATCTATCTTCTATATCTGCGATGCCATTCTCTAAAAGAAGTTGTGAGCGGTTAAAGACAGTGGCTCGGCAAATCCTCGTCTTTTGATTTTTTCGGTTCCTGGGGTAATTCGACGCCCTAATTCCGGAAAACCACTTTTAGGGCGCAAAATGGCGAAAACCAGCATTTTCCAAGCCCCCTTAATTTTGATTTGGACGAGTGAAACGCTCTCCGCAATGGTTAGAGACGCAGAGTCGTTGTGGGACCCTCATGTTTTTAGCATCGCGGCATGCCGCCTCTGACGGTGGGAGAGGGATCGTAAGCTCGTCCGAGCTCGTGTAAGAATTGCTTGCGCGCACGGGTTTAGAGGCAGTTTTCTAGGCAGGGGTTGCATGCTGTGCGCTCGGGCCTGCTCCATTGTTGTGTTTGGGGTGCAAGCAACCTTCCGCATAAAAATTTCGAGATGCTCAATTTTGCCGAGTCACTGCCTTTGAATGTGTGAAGTCAATCAGGTTTCAATATATAAGCTGTTTTGAAATTCAAACTGAAATTGTATGATCAGCATGGTATTGAGTGCATTGATTTCAAGGAAAGTTGACATTTAACGGAAGTACGAAGAAGTGTTTTTAATCGACTAATTTTTGAGGTACGGCGCTGTACATATGCCAAAATTGGACTTTTCATTGCTCATAGCTTTTATCAAAGGACTTTCGTTGTTTTCTAGTTGTTCAAAAATACTTGTTTGTGTTTCCTTTGAATGTGAGCATTTCTCAAATCAGTACACTAAATATCGTGCTAGAAATGCACTCCCAAGTTGGATTTGAAGCACATTTATGCATTGAAATCCCGATAACTTCACATTTTTAACAGTTCACAACTTTTTGCAGAGAACGGCATCGCAAATATGGAAGGTAGATTTGGAATAAGCTCGCAAAGACGCATCTAACAATATGCGATTCATTCCAAGTTGCCCCTTTAGCTGGGATCGTTCCCTAGTAAGAGACGCGAGCACGCTTTGCGTACTTTTGATCAACATGTTCATGAATGACTTCTAACACGTTTTTGCTGATTACGTGCTGAAGCCAGCGTGGTTTAACGAGCTCATAGATGTTCTTCCACGAATTCTATTAGAAAATCAACCAAAACGCGTTGAAGCTCATTCATGAACTTGTCAATGAGATGTACGCAAAGCGTGTTCGCATCTCCTAGTCAGAGAAGATCATATTGTAGATCAACCAGAGTTCACAACATGCTTTTTTCGCGTTGGAGGACAGTAGCTCGGCAAATCCTCGACTCAAATACAAGAAGATACAACATTTGACTTTCTCAGCTTATCTAGATCACGTTAGAATTTCGCCTCCGGCGGTGTTCACATTTCTTATTGTTCGCAAACAAGTTCATTTTGAGATTACCAAATACGATGCCAACGATCCGCTTATTACGGTCGAAAGACTCTATGTTTAAAACACGAAGTCTATGAATCCCATGGCCTTGCTCTTTTCTGCCAAAAAACAACAAACATTTGTCAGATAACTGCAATTGATTTTGTTTGTAGAAATTAACAGTTTATGTAACGAGGAAAGAGTCAGTAATTGAACGGCTCCAAGCAAGCTACATACCACTGAGCAGCAAAACACTAATTTCATGTATGTTTTAGCATCTGCTGAACGCCTCTGTGGGCAAAGCTACAAGAAGATCTAAAGATCTATGCAAGAAATCGTGTATAGAAGTCGCAGATTTAGATGTATGATCGCTGTCTTAGCTTACCTTCAGGCAGAACTACCTAGAGACCAACACCTGCATGTTTTGGCTAAACGATAAGCTAAACATATCTGTATATCATAATTTGCACTTTGCATACGCGAGCATATGACGGCTTATAACTTCGCCTATAAAGGCGCTCAGCAGATAAAAGGGAGTTCTGATCATTTTCTTGTAAGTGTCCCCACCTTCGATCATCCTACTGACGATGAGATATGATTGCAGATATAGCAAGAAATAGTATAACAAAAGGAAATTGGCCTCGCTTACTTCTGCAGCCATTTGGGAATGGATTACTAGGAGCAAGCGTGAATTTTGAAGGTGTACAAATCTGCGAAATATGCGTATTAGGACTAATCGTGATTCGATATATAGACGTGTCAATGCCAGCTGTTGGAATGATATCGCAAGTTCCTGAGGCAACTGTACTAACAGTTACATCAGGTACATTTGCAAATGCGGAGGAACTAGAATATTCGTTAACGCATGACTCTACTTTTCAAACAGTTTCCGGAAAGGTATATTTAATGCTTCGTCCAGATTATGTACAACTATCTTCGTTCAGATAAGTCTTGCAAACGGAAGAACGTTGACTCTGACTGATTCTCCTCTACAATACACCGGCAGTGGCTTTTCCATCGGCATGGGAAGTGAAGTACTGAGTATAGAAGATGCCAGATGGGAAGTAAGTCTTTTTGTACAAGTTACTTTTCTAATTTTTCCTGTACTTTCAGTATAAAATCGATTTGCAAACGCCATAGGAAATATCAAGTAATCTTTGTGAAAAATGTGGATGCTTAATAGAATTTCCTCAACTCAAATAGTAGAAATCAATTTTGAATCGCGCCCGACGAAGATTTCACAGAAGCGCGTTGAGCTTTAGTTCATCTGAGAAGAAGCAGGAAGGGAAAATAACAATTGTCATCTTGCTTTCTGTAACGTATTCTCTCATGCAAGAGCACAAAATTCAAATGCAAAGCTATTAGACTGGTTAGTAAATAAGCGGTCGCTTTTGCGACTTTTACAAATGCTGCGAACAAGTTTTTGTCCAGTATATAGTATCTCTGAAAAGAGCATTTTAATGAGAATTGGTTTATGAATTCTGTTTATGTAGAACTTATCTTCCAAGGAAAATAATCAGCAAGGAAGTGAGGAACCCCAGTTTTCTCATGGTACTCAAATATGAGGAAATTTGGTTTTTACAATAAAAGATTCTCAAAGTAGCAGATCACAATTTCCATTTAGTTCACTAAATAGGGAAAAATTCTCTGTATCCAAATACGAAACTGCTGTTCTAACATCCACTGCAGCATGAGAACGAAGCTTAGGAATTCAAAGAATTGAGCTTTTGGAAATTTAGCTATGTTGAGGCATAACTTCCTTACTCATAATTGAAAATCTTGAGTATTTGATATGTGACAGAAGAAGCCATTATCTACTTTTCCACAAAAAATCATGGATAGAAAACAACAACAAAATTTTTCATGAAGATTTGCATGCCAAAAGGAACTTATCTAGCCAATCTAATAAATCAAGCAAATTGTTTGCAGCGAAGAAACAATCACATAACACCGAATCTCGATTATATCTACGCAGCACTACTTCCCACAAATTACTGGGTTGTTTCAAAAGTCCTACGCTTTTTGCACCTCTTTTTGAACTGCTGACTTAATAAAAACATTTTTATAAAAAAGCTTTATTCTAAAAAGCTTTTTTCCTCTAGTTTCTCATGCATACTCTCGCCTTCATAGAACTTTTTCATTCTGTGGTTCCTTGCCGCGAAAAGACAGCAAAACAAATGTGGAAATTATCTTCTTGCTCTATTGCCATAGAGTCTAAACCAGAAAAGAAAAGATCACGAAACTCTCGCTCTGAATAGTGCGATTAGGCTTAGAACATTTGTTACTAAAAAACGGAATTTTTTTCAATTGTTAGCGCCGAACAGAATAAAAGGAAAATGCAAGGTCTATCACCTCAAAAAAAAAGAAATTGAGTGGGCACTTTCGAAGTTCTCTGTAAAGCTTTTTACCAAACCGAAATTTGGTGAAGTCCAAGGTTGGCAGTATTACACAATACCGCTCACATTTTTTGAAAAACAGACGCGAATGTATGGACATGTATGGACATGTACGGACATGTCGCTACATGCATGGACATGTATCGACATGTCCATACATATCCATACATGTCAATACATGTATGGACATCACCGTCGTGTGGCCATATCTCGCTTCAGAGTGGACGAGTTTTGAATCCAAAGCCACCATTCGATTCAGCTCGGCGCGGTGAATCTTCTGATATATTGGAAGTGGGGGTACGATGTCTTCGATATTCCTTTTCCAGTTTTTTCAATTTGTTCTGCGGAAGTCCTTTCGCGAATATGTAAAGCAACGCCTACCCAACATAGAAGACTTTACTAAGTACTATTCGATAATACTCTTCTTGTAGATTACTGTGCGCTAAGAATAGGCTCAGACTTCTTTCCAAAGGACATAGAAGAGTTGATGAATTTTGAAAAAATCACCGTTTTTATATTCTACTCGTCATAACTTCCTTCGGAATAAGTATTTGAATCCGAAAATAGCGCCATGCTCAGCTCAACAAGGCGAATCTTTTTATATACAGCATGTCCTTGATATTTCGATTTCAGTATTCTTGAATCTTTCTGAGGACGTCTTTTCGCGAAGGTGTAAAGCAGCGAGCATTGTCCCGAGTACATTCCAGCAAGGATCTTTCGATAGCGGCGGCCGCAGCTTTTAAGGGGGTGTGCCGCACCCCTTTAACTATGTCATAAAAACATTTTTAGCAAACCTTATTTATATGGATCGATAGCCTAAACCTTGTAGATTCCATAGGACTGTTTGGAGCCTGATTCGTCTTCTTAGCTCTGAGTAATACTTGGTGAAAGCATAGCGATCAAAGCGAAAATGGGAAAAACGAGATTTTGGTTGGCTTCTAATTCCACAGTTTGGAGGTTTTCTGGAGCGGGATTCCTGAGGTGGACAAAAAAGGAGTAGTGCTTTGTCTTGGGTGCAAAAACGGATAGCTAATTCACTTTTGAAACAAAGTTAACCATGTTGGAATTTGACCATTTCACTTAGGTAGCCCAGTATCTTGAATCTTCAGAATTCGCTCACACTTTGTCTACAGGGGTTATTTGACATGCTAATTATGGATAGGATACGAATATCATGTTATCACTATTATCAGATTACCTAACTACGACCCCCTCCCCTTTTAACTCCTCAATACGACCCCCCAGGTGTGGCGTGCCGCACCCCACGCTTGACCCTGCTACTACTTCTACTCGCCATAGCCGCAGGATACGAAGCTATCTTGCTATGCAGATGTGAGTTTCGAAATCAGCAGGTCGCATAACCTCTACGAGCAAGTTTTCCGATATGTTCGGGTCTTTTCATTTTTTCTCGTTTTACGCTCCGGAAGTTCGCCGATGGATTTTGGTCAAAATGTTGATGCTCTTGAGTTGTAAGTAAACTTTGCTTATAGAGGTTTTCGAACACGCTCTTTACGAAAACCGTGGTCTTTGAAGGCAGCATCCAGGCAGATCTGGATCCACGGGGCTTTTACGTGGAAAGTATTTTTGGGGCCCTAACTAAGGCACCGCCCAAGCGACAGCTCAGGTAGTGCTCTAATGGCTGAGATATTCCCCTCGAAACTGGCCCCCGCGAACGTATTCGCATGGATTCATGCCAGTTTCGCGCCAGGATCCACGCTTTGCGCCATGAATCCATGCGAAACACCGTCGCGGGGTCCAGTTTCGAGGGGAATATCTCAGCCTTTACAGCACTACCTGAGCTGCGCTTGGGCAGTGCCTTAGTTAGAGCCCCAAAAGTACTTTCCACGTAAAAACCCCATAGGTCCAGATCTGCCTGGACGCTGCCTTTGAGGATTACAGGGTCTTTTCGGAGAGATACGATGAGGTGACTGGAACTGCATCACGAAAGTGCGTAATTTGCCCGCACTTCTCGCGTATCTGTCAGAAACCTTGCCTGCTTGCTTTTCTCAGTGAAAGTTACTAGGAATTGTGCTATCGAATGGTGCATGACTCAGGCTCCAGTCTTTAAAATTCGCCGAGTTACGAGCCTGCGAAAACACGTCCTCATGAATTTTGCCCAAAATGTAAAGATCGCTTATCTCGTCGAAATTCCTCCGTGAGCGCTTGTACAACGCGCTGATCAAATCCTTCCACATTTTTAATGGATTTTGTTGTGTTAGATTTGGTGCTCTGAGCTCTAGCCACGAGATAGCTTTGATATTCAATTGAGCAGCTGAAGCAGATGCAAGCGCCATATTCAGTACAGGGGGAGCCGTTCGACGAAGCGAACATAATATCTGCAACGAGCGTCATACAAGCGCCCACGAAGGAATTTCGATGAGATATGCGATCCTGACATTTTGGGCAAAATTCATGAGGACGTGTTTTCGTAGGCTCGTAACTCGGCGAATTTTATAGACTGGAGCCTGAGTCATGCACCATTCGATAGCACAATTTCTAGTAACTTTGACTGAGAAAAGCAAGCAGACAAGGTTTCTGACAGATACGCGAGAAGTGCGGGCAAAGTTACGCACTTTCGCGATGCAGTTCAGCACCTCATCGTATCTCTCCAAAAAGACCCTGTAATCCTCGAAAACCAAGATTTTCGTAAAGAGCGTGTTCGAAAACCTCTATAAGCGAAGTTTCCTTACAACTTAAGAGCATCAACATTTTGACCAAAATCCATTGGCGAGCTTCCGATGGAGTAAAACGAGAAATAATGAAATAATCCGAACATATCGGAAAACTTGCTCGTAGAGGTTATGCGACTTGCTGATTTCGAAACTCACATCTGCATAGCAAGATAGCTTCGTATCCTGCGCCTATGGCGAGTAGAATTTGGGACGACAAGGTTTTTCCATAATTCACCAGCCGTTCTATTTCCTTTGAAAAGAAACCTGCGGCTACTATTTAACACATCAAAATCTACAGAAAAAGTGCTATCGAACGATCCTTGCTGGAATGTACTCAGGACAATGCTCGCTGCTTTACACCTTCGCGAAAAGACGTGATTCAAGAATACTGAAATCGAAATATCAAGGACATGCTGTGTACAGGAAGATTCGCCTTGATGAGCTGAGCAAGGAGCTGTTTTCGGATTCAAAATATAATTATTCCGAAGGAAGTTATGACGAGTAGAATTTAAAAACGGTGATTTTTCCAAAATTTACCAACGCTTCTATCTCCTTTGGAAAGAAGTCTGAGCCTATTCTTAGCAATGTTCTACAAGAACAGTTTTATCGAATAGTACTTAGTAAAGTCTTCTATGTTGGGTAGGCGTTGCTTCACATATTCGCGAAAGGACCTCCGCAGAACAAATTGAAAAAACTGGAAAAGGAATATCGAAGACATCGTACCCCCACTTCCAATATATCAGAAGATTCATCGCGCCGAGCTGAATCGAATGGTGGCTTTGGATTCAGAATTCCACTCTGAAGCGAGATATGGCCACACGACGGTGATGTCCATACATGTATTGACATGTATGGATATGTATAGACATGTCGCTACATGTCCATGCATGTAGCGACATGTCCGTACATGTCCATATGTTTATACATTCACGGCTATTTTTCAAAAAATGTGAGCGGTATTGTACATCCGACTGTTAGCTACACACAGAGCAGTGCTTGTGCAATTCTACTAGGAAACCAAGTCAAAAATTCTCATATTCTTGAAAGAAGATTTTCGCGGTTTTCGCTTAGA